GCTGAGATCTGAGGATTGCAGTTCAAAGCCAGCCTGGGCAAGAAAGTACCTGAGACTCTTACCTCCAGTGAACCACCAGAAAAAAGTGGCGCTGCGGAATAGTGCCCAAGCCTAGAGTTCAGGCCCACGACTGACCCCCCCCCCCCCCCCCCCACACACACACAAAAGGCTTTTCAGCTCAAGGCTAGCACTCTACCACTTGAGCCACAGTGCCACTTCCAGCTTTTTCTGCTTATGTTGTGCTGAGAAATTGAATCCAGGACCTCATGCATGAAAGGCCAGCACTCTACCACTGAGCCACCTTCCCAGCCCTCAATGAGACTCTTATCTCCACCTATGGGGTGCGTAAAGTGGTTGTGATTGATACATAGGCCAGTATGGGAAACAAGAACCTATTTTAAAAATAACCAAAAAAGCTGGGCGATGGTGGCTTATGCCTATAATCCTAGTTACTCAGGAGGCTGAGATCTAAGGATTGTGGTTCAAAGCCAGCCTAGGCAGGAAAGTCTGTGAGACTCTTACCATTCCAGTTAACTACCAAAAAGCTAGAAGTGGAGCTATGGCTCAAAGTGGTAGGGTACTAGCCTTGAGCAAAAAAGCTCTGAAACAGTGCCCATACCCTGAGTCTAAGCCCAGCATACACAGAAAAAAGTAGAAGTTATATTCTCTATTCTTCCTAGCAAATTAATTATACATGAATCAAAAATTTAAACATTAATCAAGGAAATTAAGCCATGAATGTTCAAGGTAAAAATGTACAAGATAAGGGGCTGGGAAATGTGAGTTAGTAGTAGAGTGCTTGCCTTGCATGCATGAAGCCCTGGTTCAATTCTTCAGTACCACTTAAACAGAAAAGGCCAGAAGTGGTGCTGTAGCATAAGTGGTAGACTGCTTGCTATCTTTGAGCAAAACAATCTTAGGAATAGCGCTCAGGCCCAGAGTTCAAGCCCCAGGACTGGACCAGAAAAAAAAAAAAAACAAGTACTATATGAAATAAAGTAATTTTGGAGTCAGTCACTGTACATATGAAGGTAGATAGATATATTTCGTCCTATAAGATTCTAATATGTGACAAAAAAAAAGCCTTAAGGACAGTCAAAAACAAAAATCTTTTCAAATTATACTGAAAGGGTCTTGATCTATTATAATTAGATTCATTTTGATGTTTACATTCCCTTTTGAGTGCTCATGTCCTGGTTGGTTTTACTTATTTTGAAAGCTGTAGGTCACATTACTGGGAGTCTAAGGAGTTAAGAGATACGTACACCAAACACACACAGTTTGAATGTTTAAAAAATAACCTTTAGCTGGCCACTGGTGGTTCATACCTTTAGTCCTAGCTACTTGGTAGTCTGAGAGCTGAGGTTTGAAGCCAGCCCAGCTTGGAAAGTCTATGAGAGTCTTATCTCCAATTAACTACCAAAAAGCCAGAAGTGGAGCTGTGGCTCAAGTGATAGAATGCTACCCTTGAGGGAAAAAGAAGCTCAGGGGCAGTGCCAAAGCCCTGAGTTCAAGCCCCAGGACTAGTACTAGATAAATAAATTTTAATGTTGCTTATTCCCATGATACTTGGGTAATTCTAAGTGTTCTAGCCTGTCAAACCCAGTTTTCAGAAATTTCATAATTTTAGCTCTGACTAAATAAGTTTTTCAAACATATGCTTTGTTTTATCTTTTTCAATAAAATTTAACAATTTAATTGTGGAGTTGCTTTTTTTGGGTATTTTTGTTTGTTTTTTGTCAGTCATAGAGCTTGAACTCAGGGCCTTGACTGCTATCCCTAAGCGTCTCTTTGTGCTCAAGCCTAGCTACTCTACCACTTAGGCTACAGTGCCACTTCTAGTTTTCTGGTGGTTAATAAAAAAAGAGTCTCAGGGACTTTCCTGCTGGGGCTGGCTTCATCAAACTGTGCTCCTCAGATCTAAGCCTCTTGAGTAGCTAGGATTATAGGTGTGAGCCACCAGCACCTGGCTAATCATGAAGCATTATAGATACTTTTGTATGCCTGTGAGGCTAAGAATTAAGGAGAATTGAACTTATCACCAAAAGTCTAGTTAAACTCACAAAAGTATTTTTTTTATTGCTTCAATAGCTCATATAAGTGGTTTTCTGTTCAATTTTTTTCTGTCAAAATGGATTTTTTGAAAAAAATAAAACACACACACACACACACACACCATTTTTTGGCCAGTCCTGCGGCTTGATCTCTTTGAGCCTCTTTGTGCTCAAGGCTAGACTTAAGCCACAGCACCACTTCCAGCTTTTTTTTTTTTTTTTTTTTGGTTCAGCTCAAGGCTAGCGCTCTACCACTTGAGCCACAGTGCCACTTCCAGCTTTTTTTCTTTTTGCTTATTTGGTGCTGAGGAATTGAACCCAGGGCCTCAGGCATGCAAGGCAAGTGCTCTACCACTGAGCCACCTTCCCAGCCCTGCACGTCCAGCTTTTTTTGTATGGTACTGAGGAATTGAACCTAGGGCTTCATGAATGCTAGGCAAGCACTACCACTAAACCAAATTCACAGTCCTGATACATACTTTTTCTCTTCTTTTTCTTTTTTTTTTTTAAATTTTTTTTTAATCGGTCATGGGGCTTGAACTCTGGGCTTGGCACTATCCCTCAGCTCTTCAGTTCAAGGCGAGCGTTCTACCGCTTGAGCCACTGTGCCACTTCCGGTTTTCTAGTGGTTTATTGGAGATAAGAGTCTCATGGACTTTCCTTGCCCGGGCTGGCTTTGAACCGTGATCCTCAGATCTCAGCCTCCTGAGTTGCTAGGATTACAGGCGTGAGCCACTGGTGCCGGCTTACATACTTTTCCTTTTTTTTTGGTGGTGGTGGGGTCAGTCGCGGGGCTTGAACTCTGGCCTGGGTGCTGCCCCTCAGCTCTTCAGCTCAAAGGGAGCATTCTGCCGGCACAATGGCTTACTACGCCTGTAATTTTTACCCTAGCTACTCAGGAGGCTGAGATCTGAGAATCTTGTTTCAAAGCCAGCCGGGGCAGGGAAGTCTGCGAAACTTTAATCTCCAATAAACCACCAGAAAACTGGAAGTGGGACTGTGGCTCAAGGTAGGGCCCTCTCTTTGAGCTGTAAGAGCAGAGGGACAGCACCTAGGCCTAGAGTTCAAGAGCTACAACCTATAAAAGAAAGGAAAACAAAAAAACAAAACAAAAAGGGAGCACTATATCACTTGAGCCACAGCACCACTTCTAGTTTTCTGGTGCTTAATTAGAAATAGTCTCCCAGACTTTCCTGCCAGGGCTGGCTTTGAACCGTGATCCTCAGATCTCAGCTTTCTGAGTAGCTAGGATTACAGGTATGAGCCACTGGCATCTGGCCCAGATTTTTTTTTTTAATGAGAATTAAAATTTTTTCCCAAACTAATAAAAAGAATGCTAAGCCAGATGTAGTGGCTTGGGCCTGTAGAAGCTTCTCACAAGGTTGAGGCAAGAGTAGGTCAAGTTAAGGAATAGCTAACATACCAGTATCCCCTTTCAAGGGGAAGAATGACTGTGTGGCTTGTGTTTTGCTTAAAGTCCTTTATAGCAGGCAAGTTGTAAGTGTGAGAACTTGAAGGTATGATGAAATGAGGTCTCATTTTTTAGCCTATCATTATCAACCAAGTGGCAGATAGGGATGGAACTCAGTACAACTCTTCTGGAAGACAGTCATACTGTGTTACAATGCTTATGACCATAGAATTGAAAGAATTACCTCCCCCAATACAAGTAGTTATTTAGATTAGGGGGATCTCAAAGTGAGTATTTTCTAAAATTTCAACATTTCATGTTATTTATACACATAAGGGAAATATTTTAATTTTCTAGTAATCTAATATTAGGAAAGAATTCTAAGTACAGAATACTCCACAGCTTTACTTGTAGTAGTAAAAATTGAAACTAGTTAAATGTCTAAATTAGAAGGTGCCAAAGTAAATTGTGATCCTTTTAAGGGAAATAGGTGTAAGAAGTTGCATGGAAACAGTTTACATTAGGATAGGAAAAGCAGGAAGCAAATTTGTTTGTATCTTATGTGATTTCAGCTAATTATGTTCATGAAGATTCAAAATACTAGAAAACCTTATAGTTGCTGGGCGCCCATGGCTCACGCCTGTAATCTTAGCTACGTAGGAGGCTAAGATCTGAGGATCACTGTTCAAAACCAGTCCAGGCAAGAAAAGCCGTGAAACTCTACTCCAGTAAACCACAAGAAAACCGAAAGTGGCACTATGGCTCAAGTGGTAGAGCACTAGCCTTGAGCTGAAGAGCTGAGGGACAGTGCTCAAGCCCAGAGTTCAAGCTCATGACCGATCAAAAAAGGAAAAAAAAGCCTTATAGTTTTCTTTTTTTTTTGTCGTGGGGCTTGAACTCTGGGCTTGAGCCACACAGCACCAGTTCTGGTTATTTTTTTTCTAGAGGCTTATTGGAGATAAGAGTCTCACAAACTTTCCTGCCCGGGCTGATTTTGAACTGCGATCCTCAGATCTCAGCCTTCAGAGTAGCTAGGATTACAGGCCTGAGCCACAGGCGCCCGGCTCCTTATAGTTTACTTAGTGATTATATACAATTCAATTTTCCTATACTTTTTTTCCAACTTTTATTTTGTTATTAGGTATTGCTAACATTTTCAAAAGTGGTGTTTTCCTAATGTGAGGTAAAACTAATGTTTTCTTCAACTGCCACTTGATAAGGTTATGTTTGAAGATTTAGAGGAAGAGGGGCTGATAATATTTTTTTAAAGTTCTTTTTTTGTTCTGGCTTAAACTCTGGGCCTCTGGGCATTGTCCTTGAGCTCTTTTGCTCAAGGCTAACACTCTACCACTGCACCACTTCCTGTTTTCTGGTGGCTAATTCAAGATAAGACTTTCACAGACTCTCCTTCCTGGGCTGGCTTTGAACTATGATCCTCAGATCTCAGCCTCCTGAGTAGTTAGGATTACAGGAGTGAGCCACTAGCACCTGGCTTTTTGTTCATATTAAATGAGCATGTTCGTATCTTTTCTTAGATCTGAAACTCAGCACCGAGGCTCTGCCCCACACTCTGAAAGCGATCTCCCAGAACAGGAAGAAGAGATTCTGGGGTCCGATGATGATGAGCAAGAGGACCCTAATGATTATTGCAAAGGTAAGTTTGTAAGAGATATATACATATCTGTATAGTTGTAGTTTCTCATTTGGATATTTGCCCTGTCTGCTAAAGTGTTTGTTGTTTTTTTTTTTGAGGCACTGGGATTAATTAAGAATGATATATAGGGCTAGAAAGATGGCTTGGTGGTAGAGTGCTTGCCTCGCATGCAGGAGGCCCTGGATTTGATTCCTCAGCACCACATAAGCAGAAAAAGCTGGAAGTGGCACTGTGGCTCAAGTGGTAGAGCACTAGCCTTGAGCTGAATTGTTAAGGGACAGCACCCAGGCCCAGAGTTCAGGCCCCACAACGGACCAAAAAAAAAAAAAGAATGGTATATAAGCATTCTGCTGCTGAGCTACACCTAAGCACTATTTTTTAAAATCGTTTGTCTCTCTAAAAATGATAGTATATATGGATCTTAGCAAATTTCGAAAGAAGTAACTGTTGTTATATCTTACATATAGGGTTTGTTTGTTTGCTATTATTGGAGTTTGAACTTAGGGCCTCATACTTACTTGGCTTCCTTTCTATACTGGCACTCTACTACTTGAGCAATGCTTTCTACCCAGGCTGACTTCCAGCTGCGCTCCTCTGGATCTCAGTCACCTGATTAGCTAGAATTATAGACGTGAGCCACTAGCACCTAGCTTGTTTTATTCTGGTTTGTTTGTTTTGGCTGGTTGGGTTTTCTTATTTTGTTTTGAGACACCATCTTTCTATGTGGCCTACTGGCCTCATACTCATCTTCCTGCCTCAGTACTGGAATTTTATCACCATACCTGGTTGGAAATCAAAAAAAACTTTAATACTTTTTTTCTCAGGAGATGTTTGCTGAGATAAATTATAAACTAATTAAAGGTAGTTAGACCTTTTAGCAGGTTACCGTCTTTTGTTTCCTGCTGAGACTTTTAGATCTTTGAAGCAGAAACTTAGAATGAAATCTATTGAACTATGTAGAACAAGAAGAACTTGGTCCTTTTTGGGGGGGGAGAGTGGGGGGTATCTGGTCGTGGAGCCTGAACTCTGGGCCTGGGAGCTGTCCCTCAGCTCAAGGCTAGCATTCTACCACTTGAGCCACAGTGCCACTTCCGGCTTTTTTTTCTTTTTGCTTATGTGGTGCTGGGGAATCAAACCCAGGGCCTCATGCATGCAAGGCAAGTGCTCTACCACTGAGCCACCTTCCCAGCCCCCATTTGGTCCTTATTTTTCAACAGAGACCATTTAAAATACCTTGATTTTCTATTTTCAGCTAAATAGAATTCATCATTCTCTTTCCTTAAACATGAGACCATAAGTAGATTTCTGTTTAGATAAATCTTTTGGTTTTTTTTAATGGGAAAAATATTGTGATACATAACCTTATTTCTAATTGAGGAGGAGGTGATTTTATGGATTATAATTATTATTGATTTGTTTAATTCAAAATCTAAGATTAATTTTATACCATGAACTCATTAATACTATGTGCCTTAATTTTTTTTGACTGGTAAAAAGTATATAGATGAGAGGTAAGATAACTTTCCTTAACTGTTTAAGTGATTGTTTCTCCTGGTTCTTTTGATTATATTCTGCCAATTGTTTCTTTTAGGAGGTTATCATCTTGTGAAAATTGGAGATCTATTCAATGGGAGATACCATGTGATCCGAAAGTTGGGTTGGGGGCACTTTTCAACAGTGTGGTTATCATGGGATATTCAGTAAGTTCTTTTGCCCTGCAGATATATAGGATACTTTTCTGATTTGGTTGGGGGTGGGGGTGTCTCCTTATCAATTCCTGTTTTTCAATTTTACTTGGGATTCAGGGAGATACTCAGAAGATGTATTTTAATCTTAGAGAAAAATTTTGATAACTGAAAACAAGTTATCTTCCTATAATTGATATCTAGTCAGTTAGTGCCATGAATAAGTACACATGATTCTATAGGAGTAGCTTATGTCTAGCTACAGGAAATGTGACCTTGGTGTTTGTATTTGTTCTTTTTTTTTTTTTTCCCGGTTGTGAGCGCTGTCCCTCAGCTCTTCAGCTCAAGACTAGCCCTCTACCTCTTGAGCTACAGCACCACTTCCGGTTTTCTGGTGGTTTATTGGAGATAAGAGTTTCATGGAGTTTCCTGCCCAGGCTGGCTTTGAACCGAGATCCTCAGATCTCAGCCTCCTAAGTAGCTAGGATTACAGGCGTGAGCCACCGGCACCTGGCTTGTATTTGTTCTTTCCTAACAGTAACTAAGCGTTGTTTCCAAAAGTAAAATAGTTAGTCTTAATTACCTGTGTTTGTCTTCTTAGGGGCAAAAAGTTTGTGGCAATGAAAGTAGTTAAAAGTGCTGAACATTATACTGAAACAGCATTAGATGAAATCCGGTTGCTGAAATCAGTGAGTATTATATGTATGAATTGTAGAATATTATACAGACATAACATTTTATTGCAGTGAGACATACCAATGGTGGTAGACTTTTTATTTTTTCAGCTGTGGGGTTGAACTCAGGGCCTGGGCACTGTCCCTGAACTCTTTTGCTCAAGACTAGTACTCTACCACTTTGAGCCATAGCACCACTTCTGATTTTTGAGTGCTTAATTGGAGCAAAGAATCTCAAAGGGGTTTTTCTGCCCAGGCTCGCAATCCTCGGATTTCAGCCTCCTGAGTAGCTTGGATTACAGGTATCAGCCACTGGCACCTGGCAAGACTCTAATGTAACTACATTCTTACCATATCTCCTTAGAGTGGTTTAAACTAGGAACATGAAAATATTCATTCATTTCTTACATGTATTAGAGAAGTGGTGTGATATTGTAATTAGATTCTTCCTATGCACGCACATGCACACACACACATACAAAAGCTTTCAAATAATTATGCCAGATAATACTGTCATAAACGTTAATCTTTCCTACCTACTGTGGTTAAAAGGAAAGTTATGAGAGTAAATTTGTAACATCTATTTTATTGGGGTTTGATCTCGGGCCTGGGTACTGTCCCTGAGCTCTTGTGCTCAAAGCTAGCACTACCACTTGAGCCACAGCTCCACTTTTGTCTTTTTGATGGTTAATTGGAGATAAAAGTCTAGTCTTACGGATTTTTCTGCCAGGGCTGGCTTTGACCTGTGATCCTGATGTCAGCCTCCTGAGTAGCTAGGATTACAGGCATGTACCACCAGTACCTATCTATTTCACATTTTAAAATACATTCCATAGGGGCTGGGAAGGTGGCTTAGTGGTAGAGTGCTTGCCTTGCATGCCTGAGACCCTGGGTTCGATTCCTCAGCACCACATAAGCAAAAAGAAAAAAGCTGGAAGTGGCGGCTGTGGCTCAAGTGGTAGAAAGCTAGCCTTGAGCTGAAGAGCTGAGGGACAGCGCCTAGGCCCAGAGTTCAGGCCCCACGACCGGACCCCCCCCCAAAAAAATACATTCCATACTCATAATAAAATATAGAAGTTATAAATTAGATGTCAAGCCATGTGCTAGTGGTTCACACCTGTAATCCTTGTTTCTCTGGAGGCTGAGATACGAGGATTGTGATTCAAAGCCAGTCAGGGCAGGAAAGTCTGTGAGACTTTTTGTTGTTGTTGTTGTTTGTGGGGCTTAAACTCTGGGCCTGAGCGCTGTCCCTCCAGCTCTTCAGCTCAAGGCGAGAACTCTACCACTTGAGCTACAACACCACTTTTGGTTTTCTAGTGATTTATTGGAGATAGGAGTCTCATGGTCTTTTCCTGTCCCGGCTGGCTTTGAACCTCGATCCTCAGATCTCAGCCTCCTGAGTAGCTAGGATTATAGGCATGAGCCACCGTCACCCGGCTTTTTTTGTTGGTGGTGGTGGTGGTCGCAGGGCCTAACTTCTGGGCCTGGGTGCTATCCCTCAGCCCTTCAGCTCAAGGCTAGCACTCTACCATTTGAACTACAGCACCACTTCTGTCTTTTCTGCTTAGGTGGTGCTGAGGAATCGAACCCAAGGCCTCATGCTTGCAAGGCAAGCACTTTACCACTGAGCCACCTTCCCAGCCCCAAGTCTGTGAGACTCTTATCTCCAATTAATCACAGAAAAAGCTGGAAGTGGTAGAGCACTAGCCTTGAGCAAGAGGAGCTTAAGCTGGGCACTGACACCTACTCAGGTGGCTGAAATCTGAGGATTGGTTCAAAGCTAGCCTGGGCAAAAAAGTTTGTAAGACTTTGAGTTCCAGTTAACTACTAGAAAACCAAAAATGGTGCTGTGGCTATAAGTGGTAGGGCATTAGCCTTGAGTGAAAAAGCTCAGGCAAAGTACCCAGGCCCTGAGTTCAAGCTCTATGACTAACAACAACAACAAAGAGCTCCACAGCGCCCAAGCCCAGAGTTCAGTACACAGGACTGACCAAAGAAAATGTCAGTGTGATAGAAAGATCTTCAACTCAAGCTTAGAACACTTGTGGGTATTGTCCATCTCATTGTTTTTCCTCCACTAGGCCTTTATATGAGATGTCTAGTGTGATAACTTTTCAAAGTGCCAGTTTGTGACTTTGAGACAAGATAAAATATGTGTCAAATAGTAAACATTCTGCTTCCTTCATTGAGAAAATTTTTCTATTTTTAAAAAAAGCACAAAGTGTTATAGTTGATTTGTAGCCTGCAAAGTTCCTTAATCCCTCAGAAGTTGATACTCAGAGGTAATAAGTCTGTAACTAACAATCTGGTTGATTTAGGAAGATAGCACATCAATTTCTAGCTCTTTCATGGAGTTTGCTTGTGCAGATATTCCTTTCATCCCATTTGCCTTTGCTAAATGCTGTCTCTCCCAAAACAGGTTCGCAATTCAGACCCTAATGATCCAAATAGAGAAATGGTTGTACAACTACTTGATGACTTTAAAATATCAGGAGTTAATGGAACACGTATCCTTCTGGGAATTTTCTTCATAAATCATGAATTAGCTGTTGCTATAATAAATAGCAATTACTTTATTAATCCTGCAATAAGTCTATACCAAACAAATGAACTGGGTTTGTACAAACAGCATTGGTCTCTTTTCTCGAGGTAATAATTATAGATTGTGTATATGTGTGTGTGTATTTGTATGTTTGTATGCACCTTTCCTGTGGCTTAAACTCAGGACTTGGGTACTGTCCCTCAGCTTTTTTGCTCAAGGCTAGTAATGTTCTACTATCTGAGCAACAGCTCTACTCCTGGCCTTTTCAGTACTTATTTGGAAATGTCTTATGGACTTTGTTGCCGAGACTGGCTTTGAATCATAATACACAAATCTCACCCTCCTGAGTAGTTATAGGCATGAGCCACCAGCACCTAGCTCAAGATTACCCCCTTATCTGAATTGTATATGTTTTTGTGTAGTATGCTTTTTCAAGATACTGCTTTAATCTGATCTTCCCAGGAAAATCAAAAGAAATTTTTGTAGACATAGCTTTATAGCTGGGCACCAATGACTTATGCCTGTAATCCTAGCTACTCTGGATGTTGAGATCTGAGGATCATGGTTCAAAGGCAACCCAAACAGTCTGTGAGACTTATCTCCAGTTAACCACTTCCAGTGGTACTGTGGCTCAAAGTGGTCTTGAGTGAAAAAGTTCAGGGATAGCACTCAGACCCTGAGTTGAAACCCCACAACTGACAAAAAAAGGAAAATAACTTTATTACTGATTAAATATTATATGTTCTTTATCAGTTAGCATGAAAGTTTTAAGTAATTTCATAATAGTAGATAAAACATTTAAGCCAGAACTGGTGGCTCACACATGTAAACCTAGCTGCTGAGGGGGCTGAGATCTGAGGATCTTGGTTTGAAGTCAGCCAGAGCAGGAAAATCTGTGAGACTCTTCAGTTAAAGGCCAAAAAGCTGGAAGTAGAACTGTGGTTCAAGTGCTAAAGAGCTGGCCTTGAACAAAAAAGCTAGGGGTCAATTCATTTCTATCCTTTATCAGGAGTCATTGTACTTGTTACCTACTGTTCAGGGTCTTCTCTTGTTTTATATATATCTGGGCATGATAATATGTGCCTGTCATCAGCTACAATTTGAAGTCTAGAATAGGCAGTGAAGGTGCACATGCAGGTAACAGTTCAGATTCTATCTCAAAAATAGCCAGTGCAAGAAAAGGCCAGAGGCACAAAAAAAAAAAAAAAAAAACCAACAAAACCTCTTTGGGCTGGGATGTAGCTCAGTGGCAAAGCGCTTGCCTAGCAAGTGCAACGTCCTGGGTTCGATCCCCAGTACCAAAAAAGAAAAGACAAAAAAAATAGTTAAAAAAGAAAAACCCAAACAACAAAAAAAGAAAAGGCCAGAGGCAAACAAGGTAGAGTACCTCCCTAGGAAACAGAAAGCCTTGAGTTCAAATCCCAGTACTACCCCCCAAAAAAGAAAAAAAAATATTGAGGACTGGAGACATATATAGCTCAATGGCCCTGCTGCTTGCCACAAAGTCCTGATTTGATTCTCTTCCCCCACCTCCGCCTTGCATCCCAGTGCTGGGGCTTGAAGTCTGGGCATGAGCTTTTGTGCTCAAGGCTAGCATCTTACCAATGGCTCCGCTTCTGGATTTTAATTTGTTTGTTTGTTTGTTTGTTTTGTAGTTTATTGGAGATAAGTCTCAGACTTTCCAGCCCAAGCTGGCTTTGAACTGTGATCCTCAGATCTCAGCCTCCTAAGTAGCTGGGATTACAGACATGAGCCACTAACACCTGGCCTCCATAACTTTTTATAAAATTGAAAGAAATGCATTTTCACTGGGGTGGAATCTGCATGTAGTCTTGTGCTTCTTTTTTCCTCCTTAACCAAGTCCTAGATATCTGCATGGTATTTGAAGTTCTGGGACATCATCTGCTCAAGTGGATCATCAAATCCAACTATCAGGGGCTTCCACTGCCTTGTGTCAAAAAAATTATTCAGCAAGTATGTATCTTTATCTTTGCTATGTGGTAACTTCATGTGAAAGTATCTGGAGTTTTTATTTATTTTTATTGTGAAAATACTGTACAGAGGACTTACAATTACATGGGCAAGATAATGAGTACATTTCATATCTAGCATTGTAGCCTCCTCCTTTGTTTCCCCTTCCCATCCCTTCCCATTCTCTCCCCACCTCCTCTGTTTATTTATAACAGTTGTTTTTAAAACTTGGGATTTTTGGGCTGGGATGTAGCTAAGTGGCAAAGCGCTTGCCTAGCAAGTACAATGTCCTGGGTTCGATCCCCAGTACCAAAAAAGAAAAGACAAAAAAAAACACAGTTTAAAAAAAAAAACAACTTGGGATTTTTTCATTGCTAATGTTAAATGCCAATATTCAATACCTACCATCTGTTTTGTTTGTTCTATATTAAAATATTTTAGCATATACATTTTCCTGAACATTGTAATTATTAGAGGGGGGGTGTTTCCATAATTTTGGAAAATTGGAGATCTTATCTAAAAATTATGGTTATAGATATCAAGTATATAGTAATATAGATTTTTTTTTTTCCAGTCCTGGGGCTTGAATTCAGGGCCTGGGCACTATCTCTGAGCTTCTTTTGCTCAAGGCTAGCACTCTACCACTTGAGCCACAGAGCCAGTTCCTGTTTTTTCTGTTTATCTCGTACTGAGGAATCAAACACAGGTCTTCTCGCGTGCTAAGCAAGCACTCTACCACTAAGCCACATTCCCAGCCAGTACCATCACTTTTATGTAGAATTACTCATGAGCATTTTCTTTCTTTCTTTTTTTTTTTTTTTTGGTTGGTCATGGGGCTTGAACTCTGGGGTTGGGCGCTGTCCTGGTGCTCTTCAGCTCAAGGTGAACATTCTACTGCTTGAGCCACAGCGCCACTTCAGGTTTTCTAGTGGTTTATTGGAGATAAGTGTCTCATGGACTTTCTTGCTTTTGCTGTCTTTGAACTGTGATCCTCAGATCTTAGCCTCCTGAGTAACTAGGATTAAAGGTATGAGCCACCAGTGCCCAACTTTCTTTTTTTGGTCTGTAGTAGGGTTTGAACTCTGAGCCTGGGTGTTTTTCCTAAGCTCTTCAGCACAAAGCTAACACTCTACCACTTGAGCCACAGCAGCGCCACTTCCGGTTTTCTGGTGGCTAATTGGAGATATGAGTGTCATGGACTTTCCTGCCCTTTCCTGCCCACGCAGGCTTTGAACTACAATCCTCAGATATCAGCCTCCTGGATAGCTAGGATTATAGGCGTGAGCCACTGGCGCCTTGCTCCTGGGCATTTTCTACATAGCCTTAGATAGATTATATAGAATTTCACCCTCAAGAAAATGTTCAAGGGACAAATGTCTAGGAAACAAGACATTTCTTCATCAGTGAGGAAATTTATGTTAAAAGATATCTAAGGTTGCCAGGCACCAGTAGCTCACGCCTGTAATCCTAGCTACTCAGGAGGCTGAGATGTGAGGATCGAGGTTCAAAGCCAGCCCGGGCAGGAAAGACTGTGAGACTCCTATCTCCAATAAACCACTAGAAAACGGGAAGTGGCGCTGTAGCTCAAGTGGTAGAGCGCTCGCCTTGAGCTGAAGAGCTGAGGGACAGTGCCTAGGCTCCGAGTTCAAGTCCCATGACTGACAAAAAAAAAAAAGTATCTAAGGTTGGACACAGTGATGCATATTTGTAATCCTAGCATCTCTGGAGACAGTTAAGAGAATACTGGTTTGATTCTAGCTCTGGCAAAAAGCATTCTCAATACAAATAGGCCTATAATCCCAGCTATTGAAGAGGCATAGGCAGGAGTATAACTGTCTTGAGGTCGCCCTAGGCAAGATATAAGATCTTCCCTTAAAAGTAGGTAAAATAAGTCAGCGGTGGCTCATGCATATAATCCTAGCTACTCAGGAGGCTGAGATCTGAGGATCATGGTTCAAAACCAGCCTGGGCAGAAAGTCTGTGAGACTGGTATCTCCAATAAACCACTCAAAAACTGGAAGTGGCGCTGCAGCTCAATTGGTAGAGCACTTGCCTTGAGCTGAAGAGCTGAGGGACAGCGCCCAGGCCTAGAGTTCAAGCCCCACGACTGACCAAAAAAAAAAGTAGGTAAAGTATGAAAGTGATAGAGCACTGAGCTCTTGAGCTCAATTCTTAGTAACACTAAAAAAAGGATATCTAAACCACCGTTACTGTGTTTTCAGTTCTCAAAAGGGGTATTGAACATTGAGTCTCAAGTCTTTATGACACACCAAGTTAAAGAAAACTTTCAAATTAATGAGTTATGGTTGCTCATACCTGTTATCTTAGCTACTCAGGATGCTGAGATCTAAGGAGCATGGTTTGAAAGCCAGCCTGGCAGAAAAGTCCCTTATCTCCAGTTAACCACTCAAAAATCAGAGGTGGAAGTATGGTTCAAATTGGTAGAGCCCTAGCCTTGAGCATAAAGAGCTCTGAGTTCAAGCCCCTAGGAGTGGCACCAAAAAAAAGAATGAGCTTTGTAAGATTTAGAAGCTTATAATGAACCTTTCTGAGGAATTTGTTTTTGGGGGAGAGGTCAATCATAGGACTTGAACTCAGGTCCTTGGCACAGACCCTGAGCTCTTTTGCTCAAAACTAGTATTCTACCACTCTGAGCCACAATGCCACTTAACATTTTCTGGTGGTTAATTGGAGAAATGAGTCATGGTCTTTCCTGCCAGGGCTGGCTTTGAACTATGATCCTCAAATAACAGCCTCCTGAGTAGCTAGGATTGCAGGCATGAGCTACCAGTGCTGGACTGTTTCTGGGGAATTTCTTTGTGCTTTCCTTTTTTAAATTTTGTGTTGAGATGTAATCCTTTTCAAGAAAGACACGCCCCGCACCCTCCCCCTCCCCCCCCCCCCCCCCCCCCCCCCCCCCCCCCGCTTTTTTTTTTTTTTGTCGGTCGTGGGGCTTGTACTCAGGTTTGGGCCTTGTCCTTGCGCTCTTCAGCTCAAGGTGAGCACCCTACCACTTGAGCCACAGCACCACTTCCAGTTTTCTAGTGGTTTATTGGAGATAAGAGTCTCATGGACTTTTCCTGCCTGGGCTGGCATTGAACTTCCATTCTCAGATCTCAGTCCCCCGAGTAGCTAGGATTACAGGAGTGAGCCACCAGCGCCTGGCATGCATTTTATTTTTACAAGTCTACTGTCCTCTATTTTTTTTAATTCAGGTATTACAGGGTCTGGATTATTTACACACCAAGTGCCGTATCATCCACACTGACATTAAACCAGAAAACATCTTGTTATCAGTGAATGAACAGTATATACGAAGGCTAGCTGCAGAAGCAACAGAATGGCAGCGATCTGGAGCTCCTCCACCTTCTGGGTCTGCAGGTATGTGGAGGAGAGGGAATCTTTGCTCTTAATAGTTAAGGGTGATTTCTACTTAGATTCTGTTACTAGGCAGTTAAACACTACTCAGTCATTTAACAAAAAATATTTAAGAAATAGCATCAGCTTTCACAAGGTTTTTTATTCTCATTATTTATTCTCATTATCAATATAAGAATAGAGATTTTTTTTATGTCTTTCAACTAAAGATATGTTATATTCTAAAGTAGCTAACTTGCATTGTTTAAGATTGTTTTTTTCGGGCTGGGAAGGTAGCTCAGTGGTAGAGTGCTTGCCTTGCATGCCTGAGGCCCTGGGTTCCATTCCTCAGCACCACATAAGCAAAAAGAAAAAAGCCAGAAGTGGCACTGTGGCTCAAGTGGTAGAGTGCTAGCCTTGAGCTGAAGAACTGAGGAACAGCGCCCAGGCCCAGAGATCAGGCCCCACGACCAGACCCAAAAAAAAAAAAAAAAAAGGTTATTTTTTCATTTGATGGATTTAGGGTGGGAGGCTGATGATTTTTTCCTTCAGACAAGGTCTGTGTAGCCCAGGCTGGCCTCACTCTTGAAATCTTCCTGGTTCTTGATGACCATTTCGTTTATATTTATTCTATTTGACCACCTATACTCATTTATGAATTAGTACATAGGAGCTTGATGACGTTGCTGTTAAAAATCTTGGGGTTAGCAAGTACCGTGACTCATGCCTGTGATCCCAGCTATTTGTGAGGCAGAGGTCAGCTTTGGCAAAAGGTTATTGAGACACCCAACTCTACCAATAACCCAGTCATGGAGGAATGCACTATAACTCCTACATAGGAGACTGAAAGTACGTAAGAAGATCACAGAGCCAGGAAAAAGTGCTAAACTCTATCCAAAAAATGACTAAGGAAATGGAAGTATATGGCTTGTATAGTAAGTAAATCATCACTTTGAGTAAGCAAGCCAAGTGCAGCCCCTGAGTTCAAGCCCCAATACCAACAGAAAACGGGCTGGGACATGGCTTTGGTGATAGAGTAAGTGGTTCAGTCCCCAGTATTACTAAAAACAAAACAAACAGTGTAAGCATTGATTTGAATAGTCAGACCTGGTTTGAATTGTCGTTTTGCTATTGATAGGGAAGCCTTTTCCAAGTTAACTTGGCTTCCTTTTCCTACACACTGGGGTTACTGGAATTAAAATTCACTTTGATGCAGTTCACTTGTGTAGTATGTTTCAAATAAATTCTAATTGCTATCGTTGTGATTATTTTCAGCTTGAGGTACAGATTTTAATTGTTTTTGCCAGTCCTGAGGCTTGAACTCAGGTCCTGGGCACTGTCCCTGAACCTCTTTTGCTCAAGGCTAGTACTCTGCTACTTGATTCATAGATACTTCTCTGGCTTTTTCTGTTTATGTGGTACAAAGCAATTGAACCCAGGGTTTTATGCTTGCTGGGCAAGTACTCTACCACTAAGCCACATTCCCAGCCCCAGGTTTTAATTTTAGTAGTCATATTTGAGGAACCTTCTTGTTGCTTACGGTGGAAACATCAATTATAATAGTCATTCTATTGTTGTTGTTAATGATGCTTGAACTCAGGTCTTGGGCACTGTCCCTGAGCTTTTTTGCTCAAGGCTAATACTCTACTATTTTGAGCCACAGCTCCACTTCTGGTTTTATGTTGTTAATTGGAGGTAAGAGTCTCACAGATTTTCCTGCCTGGGCTGGCTTTGAAACATGATCCTCAGATCTCATCCTCCTGATTATAGTACAGGTATGAGCCACCAGGGCCCAGCATCATAGTCATTCTTTAAAGGAAGACTAAAGAAAGAAGCAGAGAGTTGTTGCATATAGAGAATCAGTTTTCAAGATTAAAAAGTTCTAAGCTGGATGCTGGTGGCTCACACCTGTAATCCTAGCTACTCAAGAGGCCTGAGGATCAAGATTTGAAGCCATCAGGGGCCAGAAAGTATGGGAGAGTCTTATCTCTGACTAAGTACTAGAAAACTGTAGGTGGAGCTATGGCTTAAAGTGACAGAGCACTAGCCTTAAGCACAGAAGCTCAGTCAGGGACAGCACCCAGGTCCTGAGTTCAAGCCCTACAACCAAAAAAGAAAGGAAAAATCCTCAAAGTTCTGGAGATCTGCTATACAGCAGTGGAGATATTTGTAGTTACACAACTATACATCTAAGAACAATTAGAAGAAGCACAATAGTTCAAGCCTGTAATCCTCAGGAGATGGAGATATTGGAGGAAATTGATATTCAGTGTCAGCCTGGGCATGAAAGTTTTCAAAACTCCATTTCAACCTATAGCTGGGCACATTGGTGTGAATCATTATTTCACCTTCAAAAGCACAGTGGCACAGTGGTGTGTGCCTGGTAGGAAAGACTGCAACCCAGGCTCTCTTGATCATAAAGTTTGGCCTTCCTCAAAAACAAACAATGCAGGGGCTGGGAAGGTGGCTCAGTGGTAGAGTGTTTTCCTTGCATGCATGAGGCCCTGGGTTCGATTCCTCAGCAACCACATAAGCAAAAAGAAAAAGCCGGAAGTGGCGCTGTGGCTCAAGTGGTAGAGCACTAGCCTTGAGCTGAAGAGCTGAGGGACAGCGCCCAGGCCCAGAGTTCAGGCCCCACGACCGGACCCAAAACAAAACAAAAAAAAAACAATGTATCCAGGTGCCTGTAGCTCACAACTACTCTGAAGGCTTGAGATCTGAGGATCTGGCAGTTTGAAGCCAGCCAAGGCAAGAAGGTCCTTGAGTCTCTCATCTCCAGTTAACCACAAAAAGGAGAAGTGGAGCTGGGTTTCAAGTGGTAGAGAACTAGCCTTGAGCAAAAAAAAAAAAAAACTTCAAGGACAGCATCTAGGCCCTGAATTAAGTTCCAGGACCTGCACGTGCTGGGGCTGATTTATATCATGTAGGGTTTTTTGTTTGGTTGTTTGATTTTATTATTATTTTACAACAATTGCAGATGCTTTCAAATGGAAAAAAAACTAAGGTAAACTGATGTCTATAACATTGTAACATAGCAAATTACTATAGCTCATGGTGTCAGATAAACTTTCCTTTTGACATTTGAAAAATGACAAGAGGGAAGAATCAAGAGTGAGAGTCCTGGAGAAGGATAGCTAGGGTGTTGTAGGTCACTTTCTAACTGGAGCTGTGCTTGGGAATAGGAAGTGGGTGCTATTACCATGTCAGTACTGGTAACAAGATTTGAACTTGGCTCTGCATATGTCAGTGCTACTTGGGGGAGGACATAACTTTTTTTTTGGGAGGGGGGGTCCGGTCGTGGGGCCTGAACTCTGGGCCTGGGCGCTGTCCCTCAGCTCTTCAGCTCAAGGCTAGCGCTCTACCACTTGAGCCACAGTGCCACTTCCGGCTTTTTTCTTTTTGCTTATGTGGTGCTGAGGAGTGGAACCCAGGGCCTCAGGCATGCAAGGCAAGCGCTCTACCACTGAGCCACCTTCCCAGCCCCAGGACATAACTTTTATATGCACTATTTTCTTAAAAATAAAGGCAACAGGGTTCTGGGAAGGTGGCTCAGTGGTAGAGTGCTTGCCTTGAATACATGAGGCCCTGGGTTCAATTCCTCAGCACCACATAAACAGAAAAGGCCGGCAGTGGTGCTGTGGCTCAAGTGGTAGAGCATTAACCTTGAGCTGAAGAGCTGAGGGACAGCGCCCAGGCCCAGAGTTCAGCCCCACAACCGACCAAAAATTAATTAAAAAAAAAAAAAGGCAACATAGCTTCTACCAATGTAATTTAAAAACAATGTGAGTTGTAGAAAAAAAAAAATTAATTATAACATGACTTTTCTAAGCTTACATTTATGTTGTCTCCTGAATGCCAGAATTCTTACTTGGTTTTCTTTTCTTTTCAGTCAGTACTGCTCCTCAACCTAAACCAGTAAGTATAAGGTGTTTCTATACTTATTTCTGTCTCTAATTCTGATCTGTGGGTTATGGGTATGATCTTTTATGCTGTGGTTGATTACAGTTTTTTTAGTTTGGAAACCAAGAAAAAAATATTTTTGAACTTCTATAACTTTATCCAGTAATTTTCCATGTATCTTCACATTTGTACTGGTGAAGCATCCATAAATTTGAATGTCCGAGAGTTAACCATCCCTACAGATTGCTCAGAAGAATGAACTTTACTATTGGCTTTATTTTTGTTTCATAAGAATATCTGCAGTTTTTTAACTAATGAAAAACCTAGGGAATATGTGAAATTTAAGCCGGGCACTGGTGGCTCACACCTGCAATCCTTACCTACTCAGGAGACTGAGATCTGAGGATTATGGTTTGAAGCCAGCCCAGGCAAGAAAGTCTGTGAGACACTGGTCTCCAATTAACTCCAAAAAACCAGAAGTGGCGCTGTGGCTCAAGTGGTAGAGCGCTAGCCTTGAGTACAAAAACTCAGGGACAGTGCCCAGGCCCTGAGTTCAAGCCCCAAGACTGGTACACATACAAAAAAAAAGAAGGATGAAATTTAATTAGGAAATAATTAAAATTAATAATTATCTCCAATTAGGGGTACTGGATTAGCCACCTGAAGGCTTTATCTGTTTGTAATCTCCGCCCAGGCTGACAAAATGTCAAAGAATAAGAAGAAGAAATTGAAGAAGAAGCAGAAGCGCCAGGCAGAATTACTAGAGAAGCGAATGCAGGAGATTGAGGAAATGGAGAAAGAGTCGGGCCCTGGGCAAAAAAGACCTAACAAGCAAGAAGAATCAGAGAGTCCTGTTGAAAGACCCTTGAAAGAAAACCCACCTAATAAAATGACCCAAGAAAAACTTGGTATAAATAGAGCATCACAAATTATGGCACACTATAGCATTAATTTGTCATTGTTATATATCATAGTGGTTTCATGCATACAACATATCTCTGGGGGTGTCCTTATAAGAATTCAGATCTTGTCGTAAATATTAGGCAGGTAATACTAAAATGTAATTTCTTACTTTTCTCAGGAAATAGAAAGAACATAGACTTTTAGCTATTGGGTAAGGATGAGCAGGTCTTGGTCCTTCCATAAATAGGTTTTAGATGTCCAGCTTTGTTTTCATTTCACTCAGTATAAGTTCTAGAAAGTGCTTTAATCTTGTGAGTAATTTTTCTGTTCTTTTGTTTACACATATACATACACATGCTTTTTGTTTGTTTGTTCCTTAGAAGAGTCAAGTTCCATTGGCCAGGATCAAACACTTATGGAACCTGGTGTAGAGGGTGGTGCAGCAGAAATTAATTGCAATGGAGTAATTGAAATCATTAATTATACTGAGGACAGTAATAAAGAATCATTGAGGCTTAAAGAGGATCTACATAATGCTAATGACTCTGATGTCCAAAATGTTCAAAATTTGAACCAGGAACCTAATTTTCTAAGTTCCCCAAATGGAGACAGTCATCCAACTCAAGAAGCAAACTCTTATACAACTGTACCCTCTGGGGTGTCAGATACCATGGTATGCCAGTCTTCATCTGTAGACCAGTTATTGAATGAACAGAACATCAGCCAGCTTCAAGAAAGCATTCGCGCAGAGATACCATGTGAAGATGAGCAAGAGCAGGAACATAATGGACCACTGGACAACAAAGGTACCATTCAGAAATACTTATCCAATACCCCTTCCTTGTACAACACATTATTGAATATCTTTACTAAAAGTTCAATAACGTTGTTTTTGTAACTATAGTTTTACAGCAGGTGTCTATTCTTTTGAGGTAATTGGTGTGTTCTTTGTTTTGTTTGTGCTGTTTGGGACCAAACCCAGTCTTGCATGTGCTAATAACCAAGTGCTCTATAAATGAGCTATATTCCCAGCGAGCACACATGCAAGTTGCCTTCAATGTGTACATCTGTAGATAGTTTACTCATTGCATATGGGGTGCACAGCATTTTACTTGTTATGAGCAACGGGTTTTTAATTATAGAAACTGTGGTATTTAAATTTGAGGAGCCTAATTGGTTAACTCTTACCTTGTAGAGAGTTTACTTACCCTGTAAGTGCTCCAAAAAGTGTTTGTTAAACAGTTTTGTTGATAGTACTCATTATCTATAGGAAAATCCACTGCTGGCAATTTTCTTGTCAATCCCCTTGAGCCAAAAAATGCAGAAAAACTCAAAGTGAAGATCGCTGATCTTGGAAATGCCTGTTGGGTGGTAAGTTAAAACTTGCTTTATTTTGAAATTACAGAGATTGAATGACAATTTGCACTTGGTTATGCTAAAATTGAGCTTATAATTCTTCATTTTATTAAATTTACTAAATTCTTCCATTTAGTAAATAATATTTTACTTTTGCTTTTAACTTTTGTTATAGAGAAGTTCAGGTACATTTACAAAAGTTGGGGAAAGCATCTAGCCCTCATTGCAGTTACCCTTCCCCAGATTCAGTTAATTAATGTCCACTTGTTTTGTACCTATCTTTATTCACTTGTTTCCTCTGTATGTGTATACATGCACACCAATCCTGCAGCTTGTACTCAGGGCCTGGGCTTTTTTGCTCAAGGCTGACATTCTACCACTTGAGCCACAGCTCCACTTTTGGCTCTTTGGTGGTTAATTGGAGATAAAGAGTTTCTTAACTGTAGACTTACCTGCACAGGCTGGCATCAAACCAACAATCCTCAGGTCTTAGCCACCTGAGGTGCTAAAATTAACAGGTGTAAGCCACCAGTGTCCAGCTCACTTTTGTACTCTTTTTGTTTCTGAAATTTTATTTTTAATACATACGTTTCACAAAAACACCATATACAATTCCGTAATCAGATGTTTAACAACGTTCAACTATTGACACTGTCATCCCTCAAGTGTAATCCAAGACATCCTGACAAGAAATATGTACAGACAACAATATATTCTTTAGCTAATTTTAACAGTATCCACCTGTTATATTTCATTCAGTCACCTGAAAGAATAATGAAGTCACCAGGACATGGAGATAAACTGGGTTAGACAGCATCCTATCAAGGAACCAACTTTCTTCCTCAGCCTCCAACTAAAATTACTCAGCACCTGCCACCAACAAACTAAACAAGAAAATAAACCAGGGTTAGCAATCTGGGCACAGCAGAGCAGACTGCTAGAAGGACTTTTTATTTAGAAAATGAACTTGTGGGGCTGGGAAGTTGGCTCAGTGGTAGAGTGCTTGCCTTTCATGCCTGAGTTCCTGGGTTCAATTCCTCAGTACCACATAAGCAAAAAGAATAAAAGCCGGAAGTGGCGTTGTGGCTCAAGTGGTAGAGCGCTAGCCTTGAGCTGAAGAGCTGAGGGACAGCGCCCAGGCCCAGAGTTCAGGCCCCACGACCGGACCCAAAAAAAAAAATGAACTTGTACAAACACTAAATAAAGGGCATTTGAGGAGCTCCTTTTAGCATGGGACACTTGAGCAGCCTCTCCATTTATTTCATGGCACAGTGTATGTCTTTTAAGGTCAAAACCCTGGGCACTGTCCCTGAGTTTTTGTACTCAAGGCTAGCGCTCTACCACTTGAGCCACAGCGCCACTTCTGGTTTTTTGGAGTTAATTGGAGACCATTGTCTCACAGACTTTCTTGCCTGGGCTGGCTTCAAACCATAGTCCTCAGATCTCAGTCTCCTGAGTAGGTAAGGATTGCAGGTGTGAGCCACCAGTGCCCGGCTTAAATTTCACATATTCCCTAGGTTTTTCATTAGTTAAAAAACTGCAGATATTCTTATGAAACAAAAATAAAGCCAATAGTAAAGTTCATTCTTCTGAGCAATCTGTAGGGATGGTTAACTCTCGGACATTCAAATTTATGGATGCTTCACCAGTACAAATGTGAAGATACATGGAAAATTACTGGATAAAGTTATAGAAGTTCAAAAATATTTTTGATGCAAATGTAACCAAAAAAAAAAAAAATAGAGCTGAGATGGCTTGTAGGAAAAATAAGCAATCAGAAATTGACTCATCTCTAAAGCAGATAATTTTATTTGTTCAAGCTATAGAGCTCATAAAAGTAAATGACTAGTTGAGAATGTGGCTTAGGGGTAGAGATATTGCCTAGCATGCATGAAGCTCTGGATTCAATTACTCAGAAAAGACCAATAGTGGAGCCATGGCTCAAGTGGTAGAGTGCTAGCCTTGAGCAAAAGAAGCCCAGGGACAGTGCCCAAGCCCTGAGTTCAAGCCCCAGGATTGCCAAAGTAAGTAAATAAGTAAATAAATGACTAAAAAATAGTAGAGCAGAAATTATTAGTCACTATAAGTCTGCCGCATATTATTGAGCACTATTCATAAGAAAAAAACAAGTTGATTTGGTTCCTGGGTGACTAATACCCTTTAATATCTTTTTTTTTTTTTTTTTTGGTCAATCATGGGGCCTGAACTCAAGGCTAGTGCTCTACCACTTGAGCCACAGCACCACTTCTGGCTTTTTCTATTTATGTGGTACTGAGGAATCGAACCCAAGGCTTCCTGCATGCTAGGCGAGCACTCTACCACTGAGCCACCTTCCCAGCCTCTCATTTATGGAAATTTTTAAACATACAGAATAGCAAGAATAAAATAATGAATTCCTATGTCATTATATTGTTGTCACTTAGCAATTATAAGCACATTGCCAATCTATTTTCGTATGTATCTCAACTTTGCCATCCACCCCAGATTGTTTTGAAGTAGATGTTAAATATCGTATTTTCATTCTTAAATATGCCTTATTAGATCAGTTTTCCAAGCTATCTCTTGAATATTCTTTTTTTTTTAATGCAGATTACAGTACCCAGGCATCCCATAAAGTAGGAGGGTCACCTTAGGGCAACCTTTATCCGCTCAAAAGTTCATCTCACATTAGCAGTGAGCATCTGGGCATCACTCTTTACTCATAGGTTTAAGGCTTTCTTGAATATTCTTTTTTTTTTTTTGGCCAGTCCTGGGGCTTGAACTCAGGGCCTGGGCACTGTCCCTGAGCTTCTTTTGCTCAAGATTAGCAATCTACCACTTGAGCCACAGCACCACTTCCAGTGGCTTTTTCTGTGTATGTGGTGCTGAGGAATCGAACCCAAGTCTTCCTGCATGCTAGGCGAGCACTCTACCACTGAGCCACCCTTCCAGCCCCTTGAATATTCTTTTAATACAAAATCTAGAGCTCATGAGCTGGGCTCCAGTGGCTTACGCCTGTCATTGTAGCTACTCGGGAGGCTGAGATCTGAGGATCATAGTTCAAAGCCAGCCCTGGCAGGAAAGTCTGAGAGACTCTTATCTCCAATAAACCACTCAAAGCCGGAAGTGGCACTGTGTCTCAAGTGGTAGAAAGCTAGCCTTGAGCTGAAGAGCTGAAGGACAGCGCCCAGGCCCAGAGTTCAAGCCCCAAGACCGACAAAAAAAAATCGAGAGCTCATGATTGCAAAATTGAGAACCGTGTCTCTTAAATTGCTTTTGGTATAGAGGTTTCTCTCCATTCTTTGTAAATTTTATTTATTCAATGAATTCCAGTTTTGCTGATCGTATACCCAGTATATTTAACATGTTCTATTTACCCAAGATGCACATTTGATAAGCAAGGATTCTTTATAGGTGGTTGTATATTCTTCATTAGTGGTTATAAATGTCCTGAAAGTTCCATCTTTTATTTCATTATAATGAGCACATAGCAAGGACAATTTTTAATGGAGTCTAAATTAGGGTCATTTATTTTAGATACATGAGAAACATAAATTTTGTTTGGGGTACTCTCCCATTTTTTTATGAAGCTATTGTGTTATTCTGTAATCTGTGTACTTGTATTTCGATTAGACTTACCTGTTTGCGAGGTACTTTGGAATAGCAGTTTGTATGACCAAGAGCATCAAAATGATACTTTAAATGAGCTAAAAGTACCTTCGGTTTGGGAAAAACTTTCAGGGAATGTAATTTTATCTCCATTATTAATCTTGATTTTTCTTTTTTTTTTCTTAACTTTTTGAAACAAATGCTGAAATTTTCCTTTTTCATTTTCTCAGCACAAACATTTCACTGAAGATATTCAAACAAGGCAGTATCGCTCCCTGGAAGTTCTGATAGGATCTGGCTATAATACACCTGCTGACATTTGGAGCACAGCATGCATGGTAATGTTCTTTCCCCATGTCCTTTACTCATTATGTAATAATGTCATACCTTTTTGTTAATAAGCAGAAAAAGAACTTGACATAAGTGACTCACCACAGAAACTCTGTCCTATAGCTGAAGAGATCTAAATTGGAAACAGGTGCTATTAAGGCATTATTAGCTTGGATTAGGAGATTACAAGTATCTTTATGTTTGTTTGTTTTTTTTTGGGGGGGGGGGTGGTCAGTCGTGGGGCTTGAACCAGTCTGGGCCTGTGGATGCTGTCCCTGAGCTCTTCAGTTCAAGGCTATCACTCTACCACTTAAGCCACAGTGCCACTTTTAGTTTTCTGGTGGTTAATTGGAGATAAGAGTCTCAGAATTTCTTGCCCAGGCTGGCTTTGAGCTATGGTCCTCAGATCTTAGACTTCTGAGTAGCTAGGGTTATAGGCATGAGCCACCAAGCTCCTTTATCATTTTAGAATTTATCTGTTTCATTATTTCCTGGCAGAAACTCAAAATCTTATCATCATTTGTACTTTTATTTGTTTACTTGTCTCTCTTCCACAAGGTTATATATCTGTTTCATACATGTTTTGTTTTTGTTTTTTGCCTGTCCTGGAGCTTGAACTTGGGGTTTAGGCACTCTCCCTGAGCTCCTTTGCCCAAGGCCAGCACTCTACCACTTGAGTCACAGCACCACGTCTGGTTTTCTGGTGGTTAATTGGAGATATAAATCTCAAGGACTTTCCTACCTGGGCTGTCTTTGAACCGTGATTCTCACTCAGATCTTAGCCTCCTGAGTAGCTAGGATTACAGGCATTAGCCCACCAGTACCGGCAGATTGCATGTTTTAAGTAGGTGCTTTCAATGTAGAGAGCCTTTGCAGACTTGATAGGGTAAGGGCAAGTTGTCTGTGTCAGAGAAGTTGGTATCTGTTGAAGTATCTGAATTCTAAGGCACTGCTGTCATTGAAAGGGAAGAATACCTAGATATCTGCTACATCGAAAGGTTAAGGATGAAAACATGTACAGCTCTCAAAGCAAAGCATTCTATACACAGAAAGCAGCAAGAGGACTTGAGAAAGACAAATATGCACATGCATCTTCTACCTACCCAAAGATGATTCATTTGAAGTTGATTGGCTACAGGGCATTCACCCCAAAAACTAGCACACAGTTGAGAGGCAGGCATTGAGTTATTGGCATTACTAAGGGTGTTCTGTTTTGGTCAGTTCCTATAGTTGTATATTGGAATATTAATTTTAGGGATGCTTTGATTTTAGCAAAGGAAAGCTAAAACTTTAACTTTTGTCCTTACAGTTTATTTTTTGTGTGCCCAACTTAATCCTTTTATGTATCTAATAAATATCTCAAATGACATGTTCAAAGTATTTAGTTCACTCCATATACATGTTTTTTATAAATGATCTTGTTCACTCGGACCAAAAAGAGTTTGAGAAGGATCCTTAAATTCCTTATGTCCTGGGCTTTTCTTTGATGAGAGACTTCTCATTATTCATTCAGTGTCTTTTTTCATTATCGTTTTATTCTGGTTTTCTGTTTCTTCATAAGTAGTATTAGTACACTGTGTCTGGGAATTTGCCTACTTCTACATTTGCTAGCATGTAATTGTTTACATTAGTCACTTATGATCCTTCATATTTCTACAGTTTCAGAAATTTCAGGTCTTCTGTATTCATTTAGTTCTGTTTTGATTTTTTTTTCTAGTAAGTTTGGAGTTAATTTGTTCTTTTTCTAGCTCTTTTAGGAGCAGTATTAAATTGCTTGAGAATAGTTTACTTTTTGTAGGCATTTATTGCTGTCAACTTTTCCTTACATAGAACTGTTTTTGGCCAGGCGCCGGTGGCTCACGCCTGTAATCCTAGCTACTGAGGAAGCTGAGATCTGAGGATCACGGTTCAAAACCAGCCAGGGCAGGAAAGTCCATGAAACTCTTATCTCCAATAAACCACTCGAAAACCAGAAGTGGCGCCGTGACTCAAGCAGTAGAGTGCTCACCTTGAGCTGAAGAGCTGAGGGACAGCACCCAAGCCTAGAGTTCAAGCCCCACGAACGATCAAAAAAAAAAGAAAAAGAAAAAAAAAGAACAGTTTTTGGTTTTGGTTTTTTCTTTTTTTTCTGTATTCCTTAAGTTTTGGCATATATGCTTTAATTTACTTTTTGGGTCTGGAGATTGAATCTGGGACCTTATATGTGCTCTGTGCTCTACTACCCCAGAAAACACTGAATAATACCTATTTTTGTCTTTACTGAATTTCTCTCTCTCTCTCTCTCTCTCTCTCTCTCTATATATATATATATATATATATATATATAGTTTTAGAAAATATTAACGAGTACTGATAATAAGAAACACAATTTGGGGCTGGGAAGGTGGCTCAGTGGTATAGTGCTTGCCTTGCATGCATGAGGCCCTAGGTTCGATTCCTCAGTACCATATAAGCAGAAAAGGCTAGAAATGGTGCTATGGCTCACAAAAAAAAAAAAAAGGAAGAAACAATTTACTAGGCATCAGTATTCATACCTATAATTGTTGCTACTCAAGAGACTGAGATTCAAAGGATGGAAGTTCAAAGCCAGCCAGGGCAGGAAGAAAAGTCTATAGAAGTACATTGACTAGTGCTGGGAATATGGCTTAGTTGTAGAGTGCTTGCCTAGCATGCATGAAGCCCTGGGCTTCCTCAGTACCACATAAACAGAAAAAGTCAGAAGTAGCACTGAGAGGCTCAAGGACAGTGCCCAGGCCCCAAGTTCAAGCTCCAGGACCTACCCAAAAAAAAAAAGTACATTGACTATAGTCCATCTCCAAAGTAACCAGCAAAATGTTGGGCTGGAGGCATGATTCAAGTTGTAAAACCCTTCCATACTGCCAAAAAAAGAAAAATGACTTGGTTCTGTGTTGCTTTTAAGATTATCAACTGTTTGAGATAATTCAGGATAGAATTGTTTTTACACTGACTACTCTGTTAATGTAGTTACTTTTCATAATGAATTACTGATATATATAAAATAGCCATAGCATTCCTGACAAGAATTAGATTCCTAGAATTATTCTGACACTTTTTATTTGATGGCCTCACTCTGGACAATATACAGACAAGGAGTTAAAGACTTAATCTGAATTGAACATGTGCCCTGACTAAACCTGCCTTTACAGTTCTTGATACTGTAATATTAAAAAAAAAAAAAAATCCAAAGCTGGACCCCAGTGGCTCAGGCCAGTAATCCTAGCTACTCCAGAGGCTGAGATCTGAGGATCACAGTTCAAAGCCAGCCCAGACAGGAAGGTCCATGAGACTTATCTCCAATTAAACCACCAGATAACCGAAAGTGGCTCTGTGGCCCAAGTGGCAGAGCACTCGCCTTGGACTGAAGAGTTCAGGGACAGTGCCCAGGGCCAGAGTTCAAGCCCCATGACAGACAAAAAAAAAAAAAAAAGGTAAGTTGGTTCCTGAATCTGCTGACAGTTTAAGCTATGCTTTTTCTCTTGCATGATTAGATATGGTTTTTATCAGACATTGAAGAGAGATCTATATTTGAGCATTTGCTTTGAGGTATAGAATTCATTGTCTAGGGCTGGGAAGTTGGCTCAGTGGTAGAGCGCTTGCCTTGTATGCCTGAGGCCCTGGGTTCGATTCCTCAGCACCACATAAACAAAAAGAAAAAAGCCGGAAGTGGTGCTGTGGCTCAAATGGTAAAGCTAGCCTTGAGCTGAAGAGCTGAAGGACAGCGCCTAGGCCCAGAGTTCAGGCCCCACGACTGGACCCAAAAAAAAAAAATAGAATCATTGTCTAGCAATATGAAATAATAAGGAAAATACATTCTCACAAATAACTTAGTGATTTATTTATTTATCTTTTTATTTTTTTGGTCGGTCGTGGGGTTTGAACTCTGGGCCTGGGTACTGTCCCCTCAGCTCTTCAGCTCAAGGCAAGCGCTCTACCACTTGAGCTACAGCGCCACTTCCGGTTTTCTGGTGATTTATTGGAGATAGGAGTCTCATGGTCTCTCCTGCCCGGGCTGGCTTTGAACCGAGATCCTCAGATCTCAGCCTCCTGAGTAGCTAGGATTACAGGCGAGAGCCACCAGCACCCGGCTTAACTTAGTGATTTAGAATCACCTTAATATCCTTTTCTGACCCAAAAGGAAAATTCAAAAAAGCTTCAGTGTTAGTTTTGTTTTTCTAAGTGCACATATTTATAACTATAGTCACCTTACTGGCCAATAGAGCTTTTACTATATGTGACTTTATATCCATTGTCCAATCTCTACCCATTCCCTGCTGAACAATTTGCTTTTCTTTGTTTAGTTTATTCTTTGTTTGGTCTTCCACTATGAGATAACTCGTACATTTGGTACAAATTCAAACTTTTTCTTTATACTTCCTTAAGTATACCCGGGTAGGGCACGGGTGGTTCATTGATGCTTTCATGTGCCATCCTCTTTTTCTTAGGCCTTTGAATTAGCCACAGGCGACTATTTGTTCGAACCTCATTCAGGGGAAGAGTATACTCGGGATGAAGGTAAGTCCACTTAAAGTGGTTACACTTGCTATACATGGCTAAAATCATTTGTTCTCATTAAGACTTAGTAATAGGTCCTCCAAATGACAGCACTATGAAAAATTAAGCCAGGTGCTAGTGGCTTATGCCTATAGTTCTAGCTACTCAGAAAGCTGAGATCTGAGGATTATTCTTTGATAAACTTGTTTCATTTTGTTTTAGTTTGATCTTGGGGCTTGAATTCAGGAACTAGGCACTAGCACTTAGCTTTTTTGCTCATGGCTAGTACTCTACCACTTCAGCATAGTTCCACTTCCAGAATTATTGTTTGAAGCCAGACTGGGCAGGAAAATCCATGAGACTCTTCTTTTTCTCAGACATGGGGCTTTTTTTTTTTTGGTCGGTCATAGGGGCTGAACTCTGGGTCTGGGCGCTGTCCCTCAGCTCTTCAGCTCAAGGCTAGCACTCTACCACTTGAGCCACAGCACCATTCCAGCTTTTTCTGCTTATGTGGTGCTGAGGAATTGAACCCAGAGCCTCATGCATGTGAGGCGAGCACTGTACCACTGAGCCACCTTCCCAGCCCTCAGGCATAGGGCGAGGGGGGGGTGGGGAGAGAGAGAGAGAGAGAAAATGTGTTTTTTGTTTCCACTTCAGTTGATACTGAAATTTAAAATTCTGTTTCAGAGATAGAGGATATGGATGTTGCTCAAGTGGTAGAGGGCTTGCTGAGTTCAAACCCAGATGGATGGATAGATAGATAGATAGATCAAAATATAATAGATTTAAATTTTTTGGTGACCTGTGGGAAAAGCCTATGTTGTCATTGCTCCCATCAAAAGACGCTGTGGAAGAAGACAATCGTAAGTTACTTTTCTATCCTGCTGTATCCAAATAAGTGATGAGTTAATAATTTGAATTCAAAAATGATTAGAGAAATACTGCACCTTCTTCCTAATATTTAGGCAGCACTAGCAGCATAGCCTCCTAGTGTGAAGAACACGACCTTCAGTGACTGTGCTTTGCTCCAGGCTTTGTGTCCTTTAGTTGCTTGGTGTATTTTGTTTTTTGTTTTAGGGGGTCAGTAATGGGACTTGAACTCAGGTCCTTGTACTGTCTGGCTTTTTCTCTCAAGGCTCTGCTCTACCACTTGAGTTAGACCTCCACTTCCAGCTTTTTTGCTGGCTAATTAGAGATAAGTCTTTTTACCCTGATCTTCAGATCTTAGCCTCCTGAGTAGCTAGGATTTCAGGTATGAGCACCAGCACCTAGCTCAGGCTTTGTGTATAGAACCAAAACTGTTCTAGAAATACTTTGTGCTTACTTAATTCTTATAGCCAAGCCGGGCGCCGGTGGCTCATGCCTGTAATCCTAGCTACTCAGGAGGCTGAGATCTGAGGATCTCGGTTCAAAGCCAGCCCGGGCAGGAAAGACCGTGAGACTCCTATCTCCAATAAACCACTAGAAAACCGGAAGTGGCGCTGTAACTCAAGTGGTAGAGCGCTCGCCTTGAGCTGAAGAGCTGAGGGACAGCGCCCAGGCCCAGAGTTCAAGCCCCATGACCGACAAAAAAAAATTCTTATAGCCAGATACCTGTGTTTTACCCTAATGTATTTGACTACAGGATCATTTTTTTTCTCTCTCTCTCTTTACATGCCTAAACTCTCTAAAAGTATTTTTTGTGTGGTACAGAACATACTGGCTAGAATTACATGATCAGAGCGCTAGCCTTGAGCTGAAGAGCTGAGGGACAGCGCTCAGGCCTAGAGTTCAAGCCCCACGACCAACCAAAACATAAAGTAAAATAAAATAAAAGAGTCTCACAGAATTTCCTGGACTGGCTTCAAACCATGATCCTCATATCTCAGCCTCCTGAGTACTAAGATTACAGATATGAACCATCAGCACCTGGCTAATAATTTCTTAGTATAGAGAAAAATAAAGAACACATATTTTGCTTGGAAGTTTGCAGTAAAAGACTATAGTCTCATTTATTCCTTGGTATTCTCATTTTGATTGTTAATGGTAATTTAAACAACCATTTATTTGCAGGTCCTGCATAAAATTGGCTTTTTTTTTTTTTTTGTAGGAGGGGTTGTGGGGCACTGTCCTTGAGCTCTTTTTGCTCAAGGTTAACACTATACCACTTTAAGCCACGGTACCACTTTCAGTATTCTGGTGGTTAATTGGAGATAAGAGTCCCACAGACTTTCTGACCTAGGCTGGCTGTGATCTTCAGATCTTAGCCTCTTGAGTCACTAGGATTCTAGACATGAGCAGATCTTAGCCTCTTGAGTCACTAGGATTCTAGACATGAGCAGAACTTTTTGACAGCCATATACTTATTATAAAAAATTATAGTGAATTTGTGAATGTAAAGTGCTTTCTAAATATCACTAGATCCTGAGATTTTCAGATAAATATGGATGTTGCCTCCAGAAGATGTGCACTTGGAAGTTAAGTGACTCCTAACCCTTAATGGTTCAGTGAGTATATTGTTAAAGTAATTTATAAAAGCCCTTTAATGTTGAGCACCCATGACTTAGGCCTGTAATCCTAGCTACTCAGTAGGCTGAGATCTGAGAGTTGCAGTTTGAAGCCAGCCCTGAGTTGAATGTCACCCACAGAGTGAAATGGACAGTAGAGCTGCCTGGAAGTTTGAGTCATGGCTAGTACTAGTCTTACCCTCCAACCTATAATCTGCATACTTTCCTGGCTATGGTCTCTGTCTACATTCATGCTGTGATAGTTAAATATTACTACCTGACTTAGACAGTAGGCTATAGTCAAGTAGATGTTTGTGGACTGGGCTTTGGTGCCTCATACCTATATTCCTAGCTACTCAGGAGGTTGAGATCTGAGGATTGCAGTTCAAAGCTAGCCCAGGCAGGAAACTCCATGAGACTCTTACATCCAATAAACCACTTAGAAAACCAGAAGTGGCACTGTGGCTCAAGTGATAGAGCACTAGCCTTGAGCTGAAGAGCTGAGGGATAGTGGCCAGGCCTAAGAGTTCAAGCCCACAACCGACCCCCCCCCCTCCCAAAAAAAATGCTTGTGGTAATTTGTAACTGTAAAGTATGCTTTTATGAAAAACTTTAGAGCTTTGGGCTACACATGAGGTGAGTTTTCATTAGAATTCACCTCTTTTTTTTTTTTTTTAACTGTATTTTTTTTGTCTTTTCTTTTTTGGTACTGGGGATCCAACCCAGGATGTTGCACTTGCTAGGCAAGCGCTTTGCCACTGAGCTACATCCCAGCCCTAGAATTCACCTCTTTTAACCCTGAAGCTTCTAAAGGTTACTTAGTCTCTCTAAGAGTCCATTTTCTCATCTTTGAAATGGTGCTGCTGACTCATGCATGTAATCCTAGCTACTTGAGAGGTTGAGATATAAAGGATTGAGGTTCAAGTTCAGCCAGAACAGAAAACTACATAAGACTCTTATATTCTAAATAATAAGCACAAAGCAAGTCTATTGGCATGCCTCAAGTGGTATATCTTACCCAAAGAATCCACCTAGGGCTGGGAAGGTGGCTCAGTGGTAGAGTGCTTGCCTTGCATGCTTGAGGCTCTGGGTTCCTCAGCACCACATAAGCAGGAAAAAAAAAAAAGCCAGAAATGGCGCTGTGGCTCAAGGGGTAGTGTGCTAGCCTTGAGCTGAAGAGCTGAGGGACAGCGCCCAGGCCCAGAGTTCAGGCCCCAGGACTGGACCCCCAAAAAAAAAAAAAAAGAATCCACCTGAACCTAAGTATATAAACAAAAGTAAAGTTGTAGATAGGCTTCCAAAATCCAGAATAAGACTTGTCAGCTACCTTGCCAGGTGACCAGTAATTCTTAGCCTTCCCAGTCTCTGCCTAAGTATGCTTGATTCATTTGTAGTTACTTGTAAATAAATAGTTCTTGAAACAGCTTTTCATAGGAAAACTACATTTACATTATGATTTTTTTTTTTAGTGTTTACTTAAGTCCCACTGGAATAAGTGATGTATTTGTTTGACTTTATAAACTCTCCATTGGATATATTTTAATTTCTTGTATAGGATAAGAGGTATGTGTGCTTGGGACCATTGCTGCCAGTGTCTAGAACTACGTTTGTTACTCTGGTTATGTATGTCTCTTTTTCCCCCTTTTAAATACTTAAAACACACAGATCACATTGCATTGATCATAGAGCTTCTGGGAAAGGTGCCTCGCAAGCTCATTGTGGCAGGGAAATACTCCAAGGAATTTTTCACCAAAAAAGGTAAAAAGCAGATGTACTAAAGACAAAAATGCCTAAAGATGATAAGGTAAGTCCAGCTGACCAGTGAGTGCTCCAGTACCCAGAGGTGAGTATGCTCTCAGTGCTGAAGAATGGTTTATATGGAGTGAGGTAGTATAGTCAAGAGTAGACAGTGGAGCAGAATGTCAAATCCCAGATGCTTCATTGTACATCAAGCTAATCATTTAATGTGTATAGTACCTTAACTATAAATTGGTGATTCCAGAAAGTAGACAGCTTAAGTTTATGTTATTATGTATTAATAAACAAAAAAGAAACTTTTGAATTTATTTTGCATCTGAACAAATATAAAATATTTATTGAAATGATGAATTTTTTACTTATGTGTTTCTTATGCATTCCAAATAAAGTTAAAATGTGAAAACCTAACTTCAAAGGATCTAGAAAACTGTCTGGCCTTTGTTTTCTCCACTGTTCCTCTTTTCCTTATAACCTCTACACAATTACCAAGAAAAATTATTTTTTTCAACCTTTGATAGGAATCCTCAGAAAATACCCTTTTAAAACTCTGGGCACAAGCACTGGTGGCTCATGCCTGTAATCCTAGCTACTCAGGAGGCTGAGATCTGAGGATTGTAATTCAAAACCAGCCCAGGCAGAAAAAGTCTGAGAGACTCTTATCTCCAATACACTATTCAAAAAAAGCAGAAGCGGCACTGTGCCTCAAGTAGTAGAGTGCTATCCTTGAGCAAAAAGAAGCTCAGAGTCAGCACTGAGGCCCTGAGTTCAAGCCCCAGGACTGGCACCAAAAAAAAAAAATCAAGGCAGGAAAATAGTAAAAAACTTCTAAGAGTCTCTCTTTGTAAGCAGAATTAGATTAAGGTTGTGTGTATACCACATAGGTAATTAAATAGGCATATTCTAGCCATAGAAAAGATACCAAATAAGTGCCATATATAGGGGGAAATTTTTAAGCAGCATTTGCCTTAATATACTATCTTCTTTTTTTATTTCCCCAATCCTGGGGCTTGAACTCAGGGCCTGGGTGCTGTTCCTGAACTTCTTTTGTTCAAGGCTAGCACTCTGCCACTTGAGCCACAGCACCACTTCTGGCTTTTTCTGGTTATGTGGTACTGAGAAAATGAACCTAGGGTTTCATGCATGCTAGTCAAGCACTCTACCACTAAGCCACATTCCCAGCCCCATACTATCTTCTTTAAATTGTCAGTTTTGCCAGGCACAGGGAGCATATGTCTCAGCTACTTGAAAAACTGAAGTAAGATCACTATTGATTTTATGTACCAATGACATGCTGTTGGCTATTTTGAATTAACATTTGCTAGATTATTGAACCAGAAAAAGTATTAGCGAATGATTAGTCATATGTGATGATGGCCTTCCCCTGTACCCTGTATGAGGCCATCTGTAGACTTGTATGTGTATGTGTGTGGGCATTTGCTGTTCATTTTAGTGAATAACTAGTTCTCCAAAAATGTACTTTAAAAAAATCCTTGAGTAGGATTATACTGCCTACTGGATTTCCACAAGAGGATCTTGCCACTTACGAGTGTTGGTCAGTTTGTTTTGTACTGTTTTCACAACAGGTGACCTGAAGCACATTACGAAGCTGAAACCCTGGGGCCTTTTTGAGGTCCTAGTGGAGAAGTATGAGTGGTCTCAGGAAGAGGCGGCTGGCTTCACAGATTTCTTACTGCCCATGTTGGAGCTTATCCCTGAGAAGAGAGCCACTGCTGCTGAGTGTCTCCAGCATCCTTGGCTGAACTCGTAAGCCTCTAACCAGCCCTGCAGCAGAGATCACACACTGATCTTCAGCCCTCCTCTCCAAGCATTCCCCTCTGCCCTTTTTAGGGTGAAGCTCTTTCAAGGGTTCCCCTCCTCCTCCCCCCATCCTCCACCCCATCCTAAACCAACATCTTCATTTGGGTTTGCTTACTTGACCCTGTGGAAATCCACACAGCCATTGGGCATCCTAGGTGACTTCAGCTTTGGTTGGGCTCTGCCAAAGACTACCAAACTAAAAATACAGAACAGCCTTTCATGCTGTACCCCTGCCTTCCCATCAGGACATGTATAAATTATCAGCACCCCCCCCCCTTTTTTTTTTTTTTTTTTTTAAGAAAGGTTTGAAGATGTGTGAGCCCATCCTTTTATTCTGACTCTAAGAGTCAAATTTTCTAGTGCATATCTTGTTGCTACATGAGGATGAGGAGAGGGGAAAGTGGTAAATCTGTGTCCAGCAGAAACATTAAACATGCTATATCCAGGCTGCATCATCTTCCTGGATTGTTTCTGTTATTTTCCATGTTCACATTTGCCCTGCAACCTTTGTGCTACTTCCTTTTTTAAATGAATTGTAAAAACACCAGATTTGGGTACTATTCTATCACTGTATAAAGCACTATCACAATCCTTTTGTCCTTTAGGAATTCTTAAGATCCTGAAATCTTTAGTCTGACTTTTAATGTAAACAAAACCAGAACCATTGAATAATGGTTGAGAATAATTTCTTGAGATCCTTAGGTGTTCTGCAAACAGTTATTTCCTGTGTATCTTCTGTACCCTAAGAGCGGTTATTTTGACTGCTTTCTTTAATGCCTGGCTGGCACTTTACTCATCCAACTTGAGTTGTTCCCCATAACAAAGAATCAGGGTGACTCCAGAAAAGAGATCTGGATTTTGGAGGGGGAAAATTTTTTCCCCATTAAAAGGGAAAATGTCCTAGAGTTCTGAATCCTTTCCAAATGGTTCTTTTTTTTGTTTTGTTTTGTTTTCTTTTTTTGTCGGTCGTGGGGCTTGAACTCTGGGCCTAGGCGCTGTCCTTCAGCTCTTCAGCTCAAGGCTAGCGCTCTACTACTTGAGCCACAGCACCATTTCTGGTTTTCTGAGTGGAGTGGTTTTATTGGAGATAGAGTCTCACGCACTTTGCTGCCCAAGCTGGCTTTGAACCGCAATCCTCAGATCTCAGCCTCCTGAGTAGCTAGGATTACAGGTGTGAGCCACCAGCACCCAGCAGTTCTCTGCTTTTATTTACAGCTTTTTCCTTACTTTCACAAATTTCTGGTATTGAAGCAGTTTCTGGTTGTGGCCTTGATGTTCTCATTTTCTCAGAAGCTTGAAACCCTGGATAAAAGAACAAAAGGGGATGGGTGGGATGGCACTTTTTTTTTTGGTTGGGGTGTGTGTGTGTGTGTGTGTGTGTGTGTGTGTGTGTGTGTGTGTGTGGCACTTTTTTTTTTGGTTGGGGTGTGTGTGTGTGTGTGTGTGTGTGTGTGTGTGTGTGTGTGTGTGTGTGTGTGTTGCCCCTGTTTGTTTCTTAAAATTAGACATTCTCTGCTGCTATTTCTTTGTACGATGCAAATTTTTAACTGCAAATTTGAAATAATTGAAGTGTACTTGAGGCCTTTTTTTAATCTTGATGCAAAAAGCATTAAGAGGATTGGCCTCTCACAGACTTGTCCTAAACATTACATATTCCTCCAGTGATATGACCATCAAAAGAGGGCAGGATTGGGGTCTTAGCCGCTTATTTACCATGGACAAGTGGGCCCCGGGATTGCAGCATTTTCCGGAAGCAGCTCTAGAACTCTTAATTTACAGAAAGCCAAGGAGGTGCAACCCAAGGTTCTACTGGAAAGCTACCGATGAAACTGTTGACTAGCCACCTTTCTGTAAGGGAGACTGGACTCACTTTCTGTCATTTATCCACAACAGTGACACAGGAAAAGTAGTGTCATTATGCAAGCCATGAAACATAAACATACTATGAGGAATTGGCCCGCCACTCATCGGATCCTTGTTTGGTTACTCCTGAATTCAGATATGTTCCTGTAGAAAGAATTTTATGTCAGGCTATCTATGCATCTATCAAGAATAAGCAGATTGTATCAAACAACGGCAGGGAAATCCTTCAGCAATTCTAACCCATTTTGGGTTTGCTACTGTATTTACAGCTAAAGCAATATCAGACTTAACTGAAATCTCTCCTACATTGTGGAATTACAGGAAGTCTGGTGTTGAGTGATGGATGATCTGACGTGAAATGACCAAAAATCACATGAGCAAACAGAGGTCTTTAAAAACTGACAGGAAATTTTAATGGGAAGGAAATCCCATCACTTCATTTTGGAAATGTTTTCCACTATATAGAAGGGCTTTTGTCCCCAACACTTGAGTCAGATGAGTCAGAAAATCCTGCAAAAAGGCAGCTGTAGGACTCAACCTACCTGGTACTCCATGTACCTTTATTGAACTTAGAATACTGCCCAGTTACCATGCTCTCACTAAAGGATTTCTATTTGCTCTTAGTTAAAAATAAAGCCCTGATAAAATTTTTATTCTTTCTACTGAGTGCATTGTCTGTTTTCTTTTCTTTATAAATTCAGTACAATAAACAACTTATTTAATAACTGTTTCCAGAAATTTTGTTCACTTGTTGCCCAAATTGGTCTGACCCAAGCAGTTAGAGAAGAGGTGTGATTGAAATAATGCCTTTGAACTTAAAACACAATGAAACTGAAACTTGAACACTTGACATTTTTGTTTGGATTTCATCTCTATCTTTTTTTGCTTTCATTTTATTGTGAGATTAACAACATACATTTTAGGGAATTAATGAGAATTATTTTTCCACATTTTCCCATAACATTCATACAGTTTTCTTTTCAAATTACTAACATGAAAAAACGCCAATTCCTTTTCTAACACTGAAGTTCTAGCATGCTGAACACTTATTATATACAGGTTTTCATGCACTAGTAAGAATAAATCTTGTAACTTCATTTATTTTATTCTTAGTATCTGTCCCCATCAGTTCCCCACTCCAAAAAGGGGCGGGGAGATATCTGCATTCTGGGTTACTAGTAAAATAAAAAACTTGTTTCAAGGGATTTTTATGAACTGTTTGTATTTTAGGTCATTTGACTAAATTACCCAGGTGCCTTTTGCTGTGCTTCCTTGTTTGATAACTTGGTCAGAACTTGTTATACATTAAAGTTGACAGTTTTTCTTTTTTTTTTTTTTTCTTCTTAATGTGCATGTCTATATGTGGTAGTAGGGACTGAACTCAGGCGCTTTACCACTTGAGCACCACTCTCAGCTGCCTTAAGTGTTTCAAGGTTGGAGTTAACATGCATATTACTCATTAGAGTACTGCTAAATCAGGTGTCCTTGTTTAAAAACAAGAGACTTTTAGATCATATTCAGAAATTTTAACCAAGGAATGTGTCCCTGATAACTGTATATAGATGTCCAATTTCATACATACCCACTGCCAAGTTAAGCTTTATGTTATAATCTGTCCTTGCATTCCTTGCTTTAGATTTACTTGGGATAAAGAGTAGTTGATCTTGGAATTAACTTTATGGTATTTGTGTAATGTGTACTGTGAATTGAGTCTGTGTGTACTGAGTCTGGGCTAGCTGACATTGAGGTTCTTGGAAAATAGTGCATGCAGTGGGATAGCACTCCTGGAATTCGGTTATAAAAGGGCTGGACGCTGTTTAAGTGTTCTGTAGCTGTCTTGTGCTTTTAAGTAACCCTTCTGGAGAAGCAGGCTGCCACGTGAGTGACCCCATAAGGGGCCAATAGCCAGTAAATGGATCCCAATCCCAACCACCTATGCAAAACTGCTGCAAATAGCCACAGCTTGGTAATGGAGCCAACGTTATTGGAGCCTGGAGGCAAAGATACTTGGCTAAATTTTGCTAGGATTCTCAACCTATGGAAATTTTATGAGTGTACTGTCAGTCCACTGAGTTCTGTACTAGGACTTGAACTGGGCCTAGACACTGGCCCTCCCTTTGAGCCACAGTTCCACTTACAGCTTTTTGCTGGTTAAGTGGAGATGAGAATCTCAGACTTGCCGGGCGCTGGTGGTTCAGGCCTGTAATCCTAGCTACTCAGGAGGCTGAGATCTGAGACAGCCTGGGCAGGAGAGACTGTGAGACTCCTATCTCCAATAAACCACCAGAAAACCGGAAGTGGCGCTGTAGCTCAAGTGGTAGAGCGCTCACCTTGAGCTGAAGAGCTGAGGGACAGTGTTCAGGCCCAGAGTTCAAGCCCCGTGACCGACAAAAAAAAATCTCAGACTTGGGGCTGGGAAGGTGGCTCAGTGGTAAAGTGCTTGCCTTGCATGCATGAGGCCCTGGGTTCAATTCCTCCGCACCACATAAGCAGAAAATGCCAAAAGTAGTGCGGTGGGTCAAGTGGTAGAGTGCTAGCCTTGAGCTGAAGAGCTGAGGGATAAAGTTAAGGCCCCACAACCTGCCCTCCCAAAAAAAAAAAATGAAACTCAGTTTTCTGCCTGGCCTGGCTTCAAACCAAGATGTTCAAAACTCAAGTGATTTGCCTAAGTAGCTATGACTGTCTATCTTGGCTATGCATTTGTGACAGGGAGGCTGACAGAAGATTCCCTGTGCAGTATTTTGAATGCAGAGTTTACAAGAAATGCCATCTATTCCTATAGTGACTTGCATGTCCGCCGTTTCTGAAGCTGATAGCCATTTCTGTGAGGGTTATCCCGGTCACTATGAAGAGATGTCATTTTCATTTCCCAAGAAGAAGGGAGTCAAATTAGTCTTTTTTAGATTTTTAGATCCCATGTTTTGTCTTCACTCCTATGGGGGTAACATTAGGAAAACAAAAAGGAGGACTGGGGCGTGTGGCTCAAGTGGCAGAGGTTTTAGCATAGTGGATCCCTGACATCAATCCCCAATGTGTTCTCTGTTGATTAAACCGTTGGAGATGGACTCACCTAGCTTTCTCATTTGTTGGTGTGAAGGAGTAAACCTGGGATCCCCCATGGGTAGGCACCCCCACACGCCACTAGGCTTCTGTCTTCTGTGAAGGTAATTCCATTCCATATCACTTCCAGAATGTTCTGTGCAGCAGAAGGTCTTGTCTCAGGACTGTTAGCTTCTAATCCTAGAATGAAAGGCTTGCCTCAGGCCTATAGTATCCTGGAAAAGGAAAGAGCTTTTGTCTCAGCAATTGGATTTCCTAATTTTCTGTTGTCTAGGAAATGGATGACCTGTGGTTTTATAAAAAGAAAAAAATTCAAGATTATAAAATAAGACATTTTTTTAAAGCCAGTTTATAAAAATGCTACCATTTTTACTGACACTTTGGATTTCCTCATTCATGTCTATGTTAGTATCACTCTACACTTGTCTCCAGTGATGGGGATATAGGGTTGTAATTGCTCTCTGAACCAATTCTACTATCATCAGCCACAGGTTACGATAAGTGACACTAAACATCTAATAACCAAGGCC